GGTAAACAGAGAGAATGTGTCATAATTATGATTTTTCAATACATCCCGTAGTAAAAATATATAAAAGTTACAAATTAAATCCTCCTTTCACCTACTTTGCTACCTTTAATTGCATAATGCTATATAAAAACATAATAATCTATTTGTGCATGTTATAATATATAGGTACACTATAAACATTGTACAAATAATTTTTAAAGAAAAAAATTTAGGAAATTGCTSTATATAAAACTTCCTCTTTGATAATATTTAAAGTTTTATTTGTTATAAAACAAATTACTTTTTTTATTGTTTGTTAAATCATTATACCATTCCATATAAATATATATATTTATTTAATCCAAGGGTTTAAATGCAATACTGAAAAACTTTTCAATCCGTACTGTGTATCATCGTTTAATTATAGTTTTTTGTTGATATTTTATCCTTTTCTTTGTCATTTTATTGGTATAGCCCAAGTAGAAAACTAGTAGACCTGTATCGTAATTTTTAGGATGAAAATAAGCTACCACACATATAAAAGTACCTTTTGATATGTGAGCTGACCTGTAAAGTAACGAGTTTTATAATTGTGTGGGCATTTTTTTATACAAACTTATTAACATTTATTTAAATTGTTTTTTTTTTTAAACATTTAGCAAGAACGCAAAGCCATAGTCGTTCTCAAGGGACCCGGCCAAGTGAGCGGTAACGTGACATTTATCCAGGCTAATCGTGGTGGCCCGGTCACGATAACTGGAGTGGTGTCTGGTCTTACTGAAGGACCGCATGGTTTCCACGTTCACGAGAAGGGAGACGTGACCAACGGATGTATATCCACCGGATCGCACTTCAACCCACAAGGGGTGAGTAACATATGAACGTTAAATCTGATAAAATAAAAATAACACAATATTGTTACTCGAACATAATACAAGTATACCTAATAGTTTAAAATATAACGTACCTACCTAACATTGCAGTGCCACTGTTGCAACTATATACACCGCACAATAATTAATTATTACCTATCATTTTGAATTACGAAAAACCAACTGGTCATGCTAMATGCTGATCTGCATTTTATATGTTTTGTATTTTATATTTTATTCTATAGAATCTTTACAAAGAATACAAAGTATACAAAATAAAAATTCATATTAATAACAATTACGATGCGCTCTGAATTGGGATAAATAAATGCGGTGTATAATAATTATCGCATAATTAACGAATCGAATGCGGCAGGTTTAAATTTAAACTAGCCGTAGTTTAATATGTATATACTTATACTGTGCAAAGCATAATAATTTTAATATTTAAGTTTATCTCTCCACGTATTTAACTTGAAAAAAACATTATTAAAACGTTTCAATAGACCTCTCCCGACGAGATATTCTGCGTTTGTATATTATGTTTTATAGTTCTTCGCGTACTTTTAATGGTGCGCGCGCTATTCAAGAGACACTGCCGCCGCAGCAGGTTTAGTATATAAGTATCTACAATAATAATAATATAATATAATCAATTGTATAGTCGTAAAATATACGCGACTGACGCACGGATCCAACGTGTATCCAAGAGCATAATTTATAAAAACCTCGGTTTACTTTACCATAAATTTGAGATTATTCAACGATGATGATTACAATATAGTATAATAATATTATATATTTATACAAGTTTTTATCATCATCGTCGTCATCATATTATAATTGTGCTCACTGCGATGGACCAAGTTTTAACCCGAGTATCGGTAAGACATTATTACTTATTAGACACACATTTAAAAACCGTCGTTGTATATGTGTATACTAAATTTAGTCGTTTTTGTGTGTACGTATAAAATAAATCAGAATGTAATACGTGTTTTAAAATAATACATCATAGGTATACCATCGTAATGGAGTTTTTTTTTATTTTACGATGTCATAAAAAGYGRCTTTRAAGTTTGGAAGGTCCATTAAGAAATATTTGTCCCACATAAATCACCAAGATATTTAGCCCATTTAGATACAACTATGTTATTAACCAAAATGTTTATAATAAACTTCTGTATTAGTATCGTATTTCCGAAATCTTATCATGCCTATTCACATATTCAACCCAAATCACAAATTACGAGTAATTAATAAGCGATTACAATAGATTTTAATATTGTTATTTTTATATAAATTCAATTACGATTTAACACTTTTTTAAATAGTAAAATTTGATGTTTATAAAAATAGTCAATTTTAAATCAATTTCATACATAGGGAAAAGTAACTAGTAGAAAGAATGATTTACAAGTAAGGAAAACATAAATAACTTCCATATACTTATACGATGAAAATAAATAAAAATCCTTTTTCATGAAAACAAATTTTTTTTTTAGTGTGATGACTAGTTATCATTACAATTGTTTTAATATTTTTTAATTTAAATTCAGTGATTTTTAGTGAAGATACATCAGTTAATTAATTACGAAACATAACTAAGCCAAATGTTTCCTAGAAAAGTTCATGCGTATGATTTATCATAATACTCTGTATTCAGCAATATAACTTAGATGTCAACACWAATAATTAGTAAACACTTTTCTAACTTTAAGCACATTTATAATAACATGTTTATTTTATATTCTTTGTATATAACCAACTATGATGTTATTATATAATAAACAGTATGAATAGCATGACCTCAGAACTTGTTTTGTGGATCGTATTTGAACTGTATTACAATGTTCACTAGACTGCAAAAAATTGTAACTTTCAAAAAATACGAGTGCGTACTTACTGACGCAAGTTATAACAGAATCAAGTAGCCTAATATATTATACAACTTCATACGACATAACAAAAAATATCGTAATTTCCGTATTGATACTAAATTAATCCTTTATTATAACGTACCGTTATTAATTAAACCGTTATTTTGTACAAACGATATTTATTATTTTTCATCGAATAAAGTCAAATTAATAACTGCAGTGGTGCAGATAAAAAATGCTCAAGAGTAATCATGAAAGAAAAACTGTGCCCAAAATTCGTTCGGTTCATTCGATAGATAACACGACACACATATCCACGCTATACGTGATTAATCGTCACAGGATCGCTCTCTTTCTCCTCTAAAAGGATTTTTCATCAGACACTTTTCCCGCGGTAAAAGCATTTCCGTGTGTGGACTGCGATAAATCGCCAATTCCAAATAAGAGTAGTGGTCTAGTATACATAATATATTAAATTATATCTACTATACCATACGCGCATGTTRTTGCGTAGGCATATCGCTTACCCGTTTGACGTGAACGATTCAGTGGTGAAGATACATATTATAATTTTCGATCGTGTATAGAAAGGTGTGAATKATTGAATGAACACTTAGACAGTATATTATATAGGTACAAATGTCCGAAAAACTATATAAGTGTTTAGCATCAGTGCTATAATTTCTAAAATTCATTTTTATAATTCAAAGTCTAGCAGAGTGAAACATCGAATTAACTTTAATAGTAATTTTTAATGTAAATATGAGTGGATCTGCAGATTATCACGTCTCTCGCTTATATGTATGCACCTGGAGCGAGTTGACGATCGTGACTAAACTCAACGGTTGTCCCTGAGCCTTCTCGTCGCGTGGAGCGAGGAGGAAGACACGTCGCCGTCGTCGGTCCGCGTGGGAAGTATTCGTATTGAAGTGTTGTGAAAACGTTTTGTGCTTAACTAGCCATTGTTTGTCTACATTTTATTATATATATATATATATGAATTGTATAGTAGGATGATTGTCATTGCCACAAAGCGAACGATTTCAATTGTACAATGCCCGGCGTGTAGTGTGTGTGTGTGTGTAGTGCGGCGTGCGCGTTCTTCACGGGTCCGCGACGATGGCAGCGGTAGACCGATCACTGATAGACACACACACAATAATAATAATGATAATAATATAACGATAATAAGATATAATACAACTACACCAACAGTTAGTAGTCGTCACAGTGTCTATACAGTATAGTGTGTGTATGTATGTATTTATGTATGTATTTATGTATGTAGTACGTATATAATAGTGTCAAGAAACGTGCTTTAGTGATGAGAAACGACATAATAGAACCATTTGAAACAAATTGAAAATAACAATCTGTGTGGGCGTGGGAAAATCGGAGTAGTTTTCGATACGTTTAAACATTATTAAATACCAGTAGCGATAATAATATATTTTTCGTCACGTTACCGCACGCGACGCTTTACGGCTAAACGCAATATTGAATATTCTAATACTATTTTCTAGCAATAAATCGTGATAACTGGCATTTAGTAGACGCCATCTGACGTCTTAAGAATTGATGTCCATTAATTTGTAGCTCAACTACAAATCGTAGATCGTATACGGTATTATAAATCATAATTTAGACTTTCGAGTTTTTCACATCGAAAACAAATTTTGTTCACGAAAATTCTGCAGTCGTTGTGTAGGATATACCATAACGCGCTTCTATACATAATATTATTTTATATTTTTCGAGTTTAGTGCTTAGGACCAATATTAATATATTTATTTTTTTGTCGCACTTAATGTAGGTAAATATGGTATTAATTTCGTTAMACTTTTTTCTGCAATTTCTCTAGCCTAGTCGTCATCTTATTTTACGCGTATAGGCACTTATAATACAAATAGCAATATTTTGAAAAAAATAATCACCTTGCWTTACAGATGTTCRTGTTTTTCATTATTTGGATAAATCTTTATMATCAAGTTGAATATTATCGGCTATTTTTAAATGTTTACAATCTTTTACGTTTAGTCATCTTAATTTTCTTTACGCCAATAACAAGCATTTCAATGGCCAGCACTAGACGCATTCTCATAAAATCATTGAAAAAACATAAAGAACCTATTGAAAAACAATGTCACATTTGTTAGCTGTCATTAAAGCAAATGTAATATACTCAGATTATATATTAGTCTCTACTCTCCGCAGCCCGTAAGTAGCTGAGACGGGTGACGTGATACTRTGATAGATGGATTATAAATTTTAATATATAATAGTATACCTATCTACATTAAGGTAATAGCTAAGCGACTGGAGACAGCCTATATTTTTTAATTTTCAATCGTAAAACAAATCTGTGTGAATAAAAAAATACAGAACTGATATAAATGCACATATAGAGCATTTAAACTTCTCAGCTTATAATGATTATAACATAATATTTCATAAAATATATTACCAATCATTGTACCAATCATAGTGTAGATATATCGTATATATGTAATCTAAGAACTGTGATTACTGTAACAATTTTCAAATTTTCTYGAGAGAGAGATTATCAAATGTAAATTTTATGCTTCGCTCGAAATACCTAGTAATAATATGTATAAGTAGTATTTAGTACTATCAATTTCTTATAAGTTATATCTTTTATTTTAAGACATCTATTTTATGTATTTATTTTTTAATATGATATATATTTACAATTTCAAAAGCAAATTTAGATTTTCACGGACGTTAAACTTATAAAAAGTACAATTATGAAATTTTCAACATGAACAGTAATCATAACTATGATGTATAAAAAAGGTATGCCAACATAAGACAAATAACGCATATAACTATATAAATATTAAGTAAGCCACTGACCAAGTATACGTAATAATGTGTATATATATGTTATATGTTTATATATAGGTAATAAGCAAGGATAGAACAAATTTTCTTAGGTAGGAGAGGAGGATCTGAATATCATAATAGGTGCAGGTAATTAAATTCACTGTAATTCTAGAAATGATGTTAAATTTCTTAGTTTATTCGTAATCCTATTGTGAGTATGTCGTTTGTGTGTAGCGGCGCTATACGTCATTGTCGGTAATTCGCGATTTC